ACCGCCCACTAAAAAAACTCTTGACTCGACCGGCCCTGGCCTAGAAAAGCCCTTAACATGGGGTATAGAGGCGACCTAAACTACACTGGAATGGATTGCGTACTAAAGATGACCGACTTTTTTTTAAATGTGTTCGTAGAATCAAAGAAACATTTATGACTAACTAAGGTATTTTAGTTTCTCATGCTAATGATTAAAAATTGCACGGATTAAGAAAATACATATGTATGTAAATGTAAAGAGAAATCAAGATAACGAAGTTATCTGACAACATAAGTACTCCTAAATACTTGTCACGAGTGCTGAGTAAGCTTTATACAAAGATAAGCATTCTCTTTAATTTTCGTTGATCAAATAAGAGCCGTCGCAATGATTTAATAATAACTATTAAGTTATCAAGTCTGTCTATGCAGTTTTTTGTTTGCGAAAAAATCGTGTGAACTTATATATTCGACATAAAAGCGTATGGACTTAGATTTTGACATTAATGCAAGTGCAATTCGGCACTTTTCGATGGTCAGATGCAACGACTATAAAGACTCGCACGAATGACAGAAAACATTCGATTTTCTGAAAAAAATCAAACGCCTTTAATAAAAAGTTAAATGGAACTAAAACCTTAACCCAAGGGCTTCATGGAAATAACAGAATGTCCGTTGTGAGGCCAGCTTCTAATTGTCGTGGTACTACGGTATGGTGGATGAAAAATAATGAGTCAAGAAAAAAGGTACTGTTCATGATACAACAAGGTAGATTATGAATGGCTCTATCTTGATGGTTACACGGACAATTTTTGAGGCAATTAAATATCAGCTTGTATTAAATATTTGCTTCAAGGCGATAGGCAATTTTTCGTTACAACAAAACAAAGTCTACATTTTTTTTTGCAAAAGCCACCCTTTTAACCGAAGAGAAGTTTAGAGGAAAATGTTTTAAATTGTTGGTTTTGCAATATTTGTTAGTCATATAATCCTAGGAGAACATTTTTGAAGATTTTTAGTATTGAGCGTGTTTTATTTTTGTTGAAAATAGTATTTAGTAGAACCTCATTTATTTTTTGTAACAATTTACTGCATGTTTTGTGACTTTTCGGTTTTTAGTAGTGCTCTTGCCGCCGTAGCCGAGCGCTTAGCGGTGCCTACTGCAACTCGGGAGGTCCATTATTCAATTTCTGGTTTCTGCAGCATCAAACAAGGTTTTTCTTGTTTTCAAATAGCGGTCGCCCCTCGGTAGACAATGGAAAACCTCCGAGTGTACTTCTGCTACAAAAAAGCTCCTTTGGAGGTGGAGTAAAAGTTTAGATATCTCCATTTGTGTCAGACGAAGCTCGGCAAGTTTAAACGCCAAACATTAATTTATTGGAATCAAATATGATCCTGCTTTCCTGTTCATCTTCAGATATAATTTTAAACTTTAAAACCCCCAAAAAAAATTCGAAAAAGTCAAAACTTTTATTGGGGTCAAAATTTGTATGAAATAAAAAAATACCGGTTTATTCGATAAAAAGAGCCGATTTATTCGATATTCGAACAGTCAAGATTTCAAAAAAACACCCATAGATATTCAAAACACCATTGGAACCCGGTTTGGAAAAACCGAGTCAATCACCCTATTATCTACCCAAAAAATTTGTATGAAATAAAAAAAGACCGGTTTATCCGATAAAAAGCTCCGGTTTAATGGATATTGGAAAAATCAATTTTCAAAAAAAAAAACACCAAAAAACTAGTGGAAACCGGTTAGGAAAAACTGAGCCAATCACCCTATTATTTACCCATTTTTGCCCACCGATGGATTTTCTCAACACTCTCCATATACGTATGTTCTATGGGATTGAGATGCAGCGACCGCGAGGATCAATTGGCCCTAATGAAAAGTATCTTTACAGCAGAACTTCACTTATGAGGTTTGACATTGCTGGCCGGGGCCAACTACTATTCGATACATTTTTCTATATCATTACCAAATTTGTGCGGCGAAGGCATCGAAACTGAGACTAACAAATAATTCAGCCACAGCGGGCGCCAATAACTACTTCATGAAAATATACAATTTAGTTCGACTTGCTGAAAGCTTTTTCGTTGTCAAGTGTGACAGCACCATAACACCCCAACTGCTGAGAGCATTCGAAACAAACTTTTACGCTCTTTTTAAATGTATATATACTGCAATTTCTGATGACTTCGCATACCTTCAGTTCAGAAAAATTATAGTCTTTCTCCCACCATGACAGCGAAAAAAATGCATTACTATTGTTGTACATAAGCATATAGACCAATTGATCAACATACCATATATGTGTCCAAAAGTTATCCGACGACCTTCTTCGATACGCTGATTTTGATGATTTGGCTTGCCACAGCCCCAAACATCCAACACCAGCCATAGCACGCACTTAGTATAGTAAAAGTAGTCAGTAATATTTAAAATTTGAACTTGTAAAAATTATAAACTGAATTACCCGTAGAAAATAGTACATAATCGGCATCATTATAAAAATAATGAAAAACGTAAAGATGTAAGCCAAAAATATATCCATGTTGGGAGGTAAAAAAAATAGATGCGAAGAATTAAAAATTTACTTTCCAAACGTTTCCAATTTGTTTTTTTTTTTCAACTTTTTTAGGAACACAATTTAAAAATTTTTACGTATATCTTCTTATGTAAATAAACCAATTTCATACACGCGCGGTACGTTTACACATCAAACGGCAAGCTAAGGAAGAATAAATTGCGCCTAAATGAAATTTAATTATTAGCACGTTTTCATATTTTGGGAAGGTTGTGACTCCGCAGACTTCTTGCTTTTAATATAAAGACTTCATCAATTTTGTTCGTATAATACCTACGCTTAAATTTGTAACGCGCTCGTTATTGTTTATCCGCACTGATTGAGATTCCCGAATGAAAACAATTTCAGGCGGTCACACACATTGAATTCGTGTTTTAGTTTTGGATGGTTGATTATGCTAGTAGATCTATGAAAGTACATAAGAAAGGTATATATACATATGCGCCTTGTTCGCACGGTCAGACAGGAAGCCACAATACCGACAAAGATCTGAGAAACAAAGGCTTATCAGTCAACTCAAGCTATGTGTTTTAGCTGATAAGATTGGTGTGAAAGGTGTAAGTACTTAAGTATACGACGCAGCAGAGAAGTTAACCATTTGAGTAAATAAGTATTTAATGCAGTCAATGGAGATGAACTTTTTAAATAAAAAGAAGAAGCCGTGCGTATCTAGCTACAAAAAAAAAAAAATAAAATTAGTTAGTACCTACGTTTGTGCGCGCAAATATTTGCGCTTTTTTGTAGAGTCGTTGGTGTGCATGACTTTCTTACGAAAATGCGGCAAACTGTCACACAGACTAATAGGCAAACATACTTACATACGTTAACGTATGATGATTTATATTCGCATGTAATTTTATATGGAAAAAAGCTTATCATTTGTTAATTTTATTATTTTATAAAAGATAACAGTAAGTTCGCTCAAGTTTTGGTGTTGTAATTTTATCTTTTTAAAAGCTAAAAGCTATGAGCTTTTAAGCTCCCACATTTTGTTAAATACATAAGTTATCAAAAACAGCCGTTTACGCTTCTCATTCTCTTTATAAACAATTGTTGAGAGCAATGTTGCCATTTTCACAGTTTTAGCTATAACTTGCAGATTTTTATACGAGCTTACAGTTTTTCTAAATACCCCTAGCACAAATAACCGTTATTTCAATATTCTGGATTTGAACAAATAAAATAAAATATGTCTCTCGGCTATTTTGCAACAAATTTCTAAATTTTTCAAGTTTTTTTTTTATATCTCAAAAACTATTATAGTTACAAAAATGGCTCTGGCCTTGTTTTAAGGATGATATTGGGGCTATAAAAATGTATATAAAAAATTTAAAAAATAAAAAATAAAAAGTTACAGACTTGTAAAATAAAAAAAAAACGTTAAAGCAAATGTTTGGTCCAATTTTTTATACTTTTGTCAGTATGTTGTATTTTCAGCTAAAATGGAGTATTAGAGCATACCATAAATTGTAAATCAAATGACTATAATCATATCGTCACTACACGCGAATAAAGGCGCGCTACTGTTTTGACGGCGAAAAAAGACGTATAAAAAAAATTTTACGAAAAAAGGCGATTAATAAAAACTTCGGCGAAGATGCGAAACGTAGTTGACGGCGAAGAAAGACGCGTTAACATAGATTTATACCTGGCCAAGGATTGTCTCTTCAGCATCATTCCCTAAATACTCTTTGGGGAAATTTACATACTGTTACACCCGCAAAAATAGTCGACCGCGAAAATAAGTTTAGTGGTCTTTCTTCGCCGTCAAATATTTGAACGCCCCTTTCTTCGCCGTCAACTATGTGAAGAGTCTTTCTTCGTTGAAGTTTTTTTATGCGTCTTTTTTTCGCGGTCAAAGTTTGAGCTCGCGCCTTTATTCGTGTCTAGTGACGATATCTTCCAGGTGGCGGATCATTTGGCGGTTAAATTCTCTATAAACGCCCTCTGATTAATGATGGCCTTAAAAGACCTGGTTGAAGATTCAGGGCTATGTTTCAAATACGAAGCTTCACTTTTGGTAGGTTTTCAACTCTTTTGGTAGGAATTTTGTAATTCCGAATCGGGGGATGTAAAAAAAAATCCCATGTGGAAATCATTTTAATGACTATTTTTTTAACGTAATGACACGAATATTTTCTAATGCCCAACTTTGCTTAGTTTAAATTCCAGCATTAGACAAAAAAAAACTGTAAGTGGCAACTCTGGTTATTGTGGTTGCTTTCAATCAGTATGCCTTGTACAGCTTTTGTTAAAACAAAAGCTTGATGTGAATATTTAACGATTATTGTATACTAAACAAATAACACGATGCATATATGGATATGCACATGTATAAGTTAATTAAAGTTCCACAATTATAATATATGCCTTAATATATTACATATATCTTTTGAACAAAATATCACAAACTAACTATTTCACATACCACTTTCTAAGCGTATCGGATAGTGTTGTCCAGACATGCGATCATCCCTTACATCGCTACGATTGTGAGCTCTAAGCCTTTTATAATATTGCATATAAATCCACAGCAATACACGTAGACACAAACTGAATACCACAAATGAAAGGAAGACCATAAAAAATGCCGATAAGTAAAGCAGCACTGTTTGCAGCTCTGAGGACATTTCTCCCATTTTGGCTGAATTCCTTTGATTTCACAGTTTTTTCCGAGAACGAGAACGATGCAGAACGATAACTGCACCTCAGTTGAATTTGCAATCAACGCTTCATTAACATTGCCGGCCCAAAATTACTCCAATTAATATTTTTGTTATAATTTTATAATTTATGTTTTAGTTGCAATATTTTTTATTGGATTTGACAAATTATATTTTATCATTTCTTTTCATTTCTTTTTTAAAAATACGAAAATTCTTCGAAATCGAAATTAATTCTACATCACAGCATGTGTACCAGTTGTGCGCGCAACACAAATAACTTTCCACAATAAAATTAGTTTGTTGGCGTGTTAATATTTCACAGTGTGAATATTTTAAGCAGAATTTAGTAGCAACTCAGTTTATCTCATTTTCGTACAGAGAGCAAATATTCACATGAACGCCGTACTTGTCTGGAAAATAAGCAGTTATTTGCTTGCCTACACATGTGATCATCAGCGACCGAACGTACTTACGTACATAACCGCATAAAGAACGCGCTAGAAGAGCTTTAACAGACAAATAAATATTTACATTAATATTAATACTAGAATTAATTTTGCTACCATGATAGTACCTTTCATACCAAAATTTTACTAAATTATGCCACGAAAAATGTTTGTTTCTTTTGTGGGACGTAGTGTTGCCAGTTGTTTGACATTAGAAAACGTCCCGCAAGGTTCAGAGGGAGTTTAAACGTCGATGGTGCAGTTCTGCATCCGCTTATCAAGGTCGCTGCTATCCCTGTGGAGGTAACCGCTAGTGTAATCTTTTTTATCCTTGCGCAACTCTGCCAGCAGCAAATTCAGCAGAAATGTCTTGCCAGTTCCCCCTGATGTGTCCGAGAAATAAAGGTCCACTCTCCACACGGCTCACAATTTTATAGAAAATGTGCCTTTGCTTGGGTAATAGTTTAGATATTCTGTTTCGATCACTTGAGCCGTCAAGTTCGTGGTGCTATAACTCAACTGCCTGAATAACACATAGGGCAGTTCTCCGATTCGTTGAGGAGTAGAGATGGCGAAATCACACATCCATTTTCGCAACATTGAGAAAACTTTATCCTCAATTAGTCTCAGAGCTTACGTCGTCATGTGCTGTTTCTTGAAACATGTGGGCGATGTCTTAAAAAAGCGGTTTTATACTGTTACCATAGGTAGTTGCAGGGAGTTACTAAAACCTCTACCGTTTGAAGCCTATATTTTAATATTTAATTTAACTTGTTGATTAAAATGATTTTTAATTTCTAAACGGGTGGCAAAGCTCTTTAAAAATATTTAGAAACAAATTTGTCTTAAATCTCTATCATTAGGTACCCATAATAATATATTTGATTTAAATTATTTATTAAATTGATTTTAAATTTATGAAAAGGCGGCAACTCTCTTCAAAAACATTTTTGAAAGAAATCCTTCTTGAACCTATTTTGTTTGACACCCACATTGTTGTAATATTTTATCTATGTTGATATTAACCTTTGAAAAAAGTGGCATCACCCTTCAAAAAAAATACTTTATATGTTAGTCTAGGTCATAGCCTATAAGTGTGCCAAATTTCATTCAACAAACATATACACTCACAAACTTTTACATTTAAATTATTAGTAGGATTGATAAAAACTATTTAAAATTTCTAAAGGGGAGGTAACTCGTTTTAAAAATATTTTCAAACGAAATAAAACTTTACTCTCTCTAGTTTGATAACCATATTTAAACATTTCGTTCAACCTTTTTATTAAATTGATTTTGGCAACCCCCTTCTAAAATATTTAAAAATAAATTTGTCTTAACTTCTCCCATTTGGTACCTATACTAAGATATTTCATTTCAATTTTTAAATAAAGTGAGATTACGTTTATGAAACGATGGCAACTCTATTCAAAAATATTTTTATAACAAATCGTTTTTGAAACTCTTTTTTTTGACACCCACATTTTTGTAATATTTTATCTCACTTAGTAAATATGTAGTTGATTTGAACTTTTGAAATAAGTGGCAACTCTCTTTAAAAAAATTCTACAAGCAAACACACTCACTCACTCACTCATAAACTTTCACATTTATTATATTAGTAGGATTATAAATATTAAATTAACAAAAGAAAAATAGCCAAAACTGGTCAAAATGCCACTTAACTTAATCAGCTGAACACAAGTGTATGTATATCTAACAAAATGAATTTAATAACTTATGTTGTACTAAATCCAAAAAAAAATATTCCCATATAGCGCACGCTTTTAAAATTATCATAACAATAATCTAATTAGCTATATTCACTGGAAAATTATCAAAATAAAAGAATTACAAAAGCCAACCTTGGTAATGAAAATAAGCAAATACCTAAGATTTATCTCACCTCAACACCATCCTTGAACACTTCCTTGCCCACGCCAAAAGCACAAAAAATTCTACAAAAAATTCTGACCATTAATTTTGTGGATGTATGTAACTATGTACATTCTTACGTGAGTTTCTATTAGCAAATATGTATGCGATAAAGTCATGTATTTCTATCAGTTAATTTGTACCCCGTGGCACTAGGAAATAACAAAAGCCTCGAAAAAATTGTTCTCACACGAACAGTTATGCATAAATTAATCCAAATTAATCCGAGTTAACCGGATCAACAAAACCGTAACATTTTATGATTTAATAGCAGAAGAATAATTAAAATGGCCAAATTAAATAAACATAATATGCCACATGCAGCGCTTCATAATTTATTTGTGCAATACATTGGTCGCTTTTGTTATTTTCTAACATTAAATTCTATTAACGCATTTTTTATACTGAAATTTTTTTACGTTAATAAAATTTAAGCGGCAAGAATAGCGTAAATTAAATTTCTGGTAAAATAGTACGGAGGTTGCACGATTCACCGTTGCTTGATTTGGCCACCTTGACGTTGAAATCATTTAAACGCAGCTTTGTGTAACCTGCGCATGAGTTCTTTTTTTCCCAATGGTCAAAGCGCCAAATTGTGTTTTTGTTGCCTAGCTTAATTTCGTGTGAATTAGCTGACTTATTTGACAGCTCTTTGTTTCCGCAACTCATGCCGCCGCAGGGAATGATGGTCAATATTCCGGCTATATGCGCTGGTATATACTCAAAAAAAAAAAAAAGAAGTATTTTTGTATGGAAGTTTGTGCGATTAAACATTTGAGTACGTTAGCATACATATGTATGTACATAGATAGGCTAGCGTTCACATCATGCGCCGCAGCTATTAATAAGCCAACAATTTAATCCAAAATTAAGGCAATATTAAATTACGACGTAAATGTGTTTATGATTGCACATACATACATACATATATAATCGATAATGACACTCATAAAATCTATTAATTCTACTATAACTTCAATATATACTAAGTAAGTGTTGTTTGCGGCGTTTAGAAGCCTAAGGCAGACTTTCAAGCAAGACAAAGCCAACAGGTGTCGGCAGAAATGAAATACAAATGTTTTTGTGTTTGTCATTATTACGTATGTACATCAATTTATTAACTTCTCAGTTATTATCCTAAAAATTGCCATAATTTCTGTGTTTCTCACCGCTAATTTTAATTTTTCATATTACTTACACAGGTCAATACATACATATGTATATGTAATACATATTATGTATGTATGTAGGTCCCTGAGGGTGAGACGTAACAATTTAAGGTATGCAAGGTTTAAGGTATCCGGTTTGAAATGTAAAGAAGATTTTTACATTCAAGGAAGTGCACTTTAAGATAAAATTTGTACTATATCAATGCGATTTTTGAGCTTGCATTTTCTGTACAAGTTCCCAAACTCTTGGGGTAATATTTTTGCTCAAAGCTGCAGGCAAATCATTACTTACTTTCAATCTGGAATGGTTTTTAATAAATACTGAAGCAGGAAACCTTTTTCCTACTAAAATGCTGGGGGCTATCAAATTGTATAGTCAAAGTTAAAAAAAAAAGTTTGAATAGAAGTTTGAAATTTTTGGCTGTATCAAGGTGTATTAAACAAGGTGTGATTGACAACTCAGTGAGGCTCTCTTTTAAGGTACTATAATGTCAAAAAATATAAACAAACGATTCAAAATTCATAATTTTTTTTTTAATTTGACTGTATAGCATGATAAAAACATACTTATACTATATTTTTATCATGCTTTAATGTACTTATTCCCAAATTAATCATTGACGAATGAATTATTCGTGTATAAAACGTTTATGAATAAATAATTAATGATTTTGTTCGTTATTTGAAATAATACAAAAAAAAACTCGATTTATAACACACTGAGCAATTAGTTACTTTTATTTCTTTTGTCACTGATTGTCAGTTAGTTGTTATTGTTAGTGTAGCTGCTTACTTAGGTCGAGGCCACGCTATGAGCGGCGCCATACAAAAATGCCGCTCAGAGCATGGTCACTTCAATAGTATTTCATATGTTTTAATTAAGCCCTTCAGCCGCTTCCCGCTTTGCCGCTCATTGCGATTGGCTTTTCTCCTAGTCGTTGTCTCCAACTGGGTTTGACCAGAGGAAGAGTGGCGTTAGTTGAGTGGGGTGACTCTCCGCATACCCGCATATCGGTTGGGCACATCTGAATTTATCCAACTCAGGTAGAAGTTTATGGTGGCGCGAGTCACCCGAGGCAGACGAAGTTCTGTCTCGTTCACGTCGGGTAGTTGTGTTCCTAAAACTGAATCACTAGTCGGGCGTTGGTGTAACGTCTATGACCTGTCGATACGCTGTCGGGTCCAGTGGTTGTTTTATGAATCTTTGGACGTGCTTTGGCGAGGGCTCTACCGCAAGCAAATGTCTGTTTGGGGTTCCCTCGTCTGTAGCACCCGATTAGGAACTGCTTGCACACCATGGCACAATATCTCGAACAAACTCTAAATTATTTGTAGCCAAAAATTGTACAAAACGGAGACTCGCATCGGGCTAATATTTGAATTTCGCAACCGTCAGTCAGTCATAATGTGCATCGTCAGTCTAATGTGCATATGTATGTATACAAGGGGGGTCCAAAAATGCATGTGAAAAAGTAAAGTTGGAATTTTTATGCTCTCACC